CGCGCTTGTCGGTCCATGACCATGACAAGTTCAATGCCGCATGCCCATGAAAGCAAAATATCGCTCAGAAGCTCTCTGACAGGCTCGGCCACAGTTACAGTAGCAGGCTGTCATGATTAGAAGCTAGCAAACATTTATGACAAAACAAACGAGCTTCTAGTGACTCACTTGGTTGCTTCCTTCCAATCAAATGTCAGTTTAGTCCGACAACGTTTTTATCTGTACACTTCTCCGATATATATATATATATATATATATATATATATATATATATATATATATATATATATATATATATATATATATATATATATATATATTAGCAAATGTGGATTGGCCAGCTGAAATGTGGACAGTGACGCGAAAGCATGAACTACACAGGGTCACTGAAAGCATTTTAAGAGTTGCTACAACTTTCACCCGACAAGCCTTGATCCGATAGACCGTACTATACGTGTGTGGCTCGACGTGTAAAATGTCCGCATGTCCGCGAAGCGCCACCTGACTCCCAAAAGCGCTAGCATGCACGGCATTCGAGGTATCGTGAGGCGGCACATTTGAGCTGGCCAGTCATTGTATCCGGTAAGCGGAGTGACAAGAAAACAACTAACCAACGACAAGCTGCGGTTCTCTTGTATGAAAATCCTCTTCGTTTACCAGGTCTACTATTCGTGATCATTATTATATAGTATGCGGCCCAGCGCCAACGACCACGCACCGTTCGATAACGCTCTCAAGGCCTTCAAGCCAGCCCGCAGTAAAGCCGGTCGACGTGGGTATCGCGGCAAACTCGGTCTTATTTCCAACCGGTGGCCAGACAAATCGGCATCCGGCGTAATCACTGACGCGGGTCTCGGAAAGGTCATGGCGGGCCTCCGCACCGCTTTGCATTCGTCTTCTTGGCGCCCTGTACCGCACGCAGCTAAGGTCCCTAGATCCTTACACGCAGCGTATCCCTTCACCACTTCCACTGCGCGCACTGTACACACGAAGAGGCTTGAAGATGGAACGCTCAGCGGCTAGCGGCTGAAGAGTGCGGCGTTTGTTCCTAGAGGCCACGCTTGATAAAGCGTTCCGGAAAGCACTGAACGTTAGCACCTTGGTAAGACCGAATCAATTTGTTATAACTGTGCCGAGTTCGTGGAAAGATTTCCGCGAAAATTGAAGCTTATATGAGCGATTGCGCTGGCATTTTACCGTGCGCGCCACGGTACTTGAACGTAGCGGTTCTAAAGAGAACGTTTCTAAGTGGGCAATATAAGCGGTGATCTGTCGTGTAGTTCAGATGGTCTTGAACTTTAGGAGAAATCGAGAATTAGGCATCGAGTGACATACTTTTCTTGAAATAGAGAGGGGGGAAGAGGGACAGGAAGTGGCTGGGGAGAGAAGGTGCTACTATATTCAGTCCACCAGGAAACACGTATACGCGCCCCGTTTAACCAAGACCCACCACTCATAACACTTAATATATTATGCCGATAGAGAAGAGGAGAAATTCTCCAGGCATGCTTATTTATGCCTCTATATTTTTTTTCCTATTCCTTTACGAAATTCCGACCTTGGCGATGTCTGTAACCCGAACTATATTACTGATATATACATTTAGTTTAGTCATCACAATAAATGGTCATCTCGAGCTCAGGCTGCTGTGTGCTTGAATTACAAGCTCGTTGTGTGTGTTGTGTGTGTGTGTGTGTGTTTGTATGTATGTATGTATGTGTGTGTGTGTGTGTGTGTGTGTGTGTGTGTGTGTCTGTGTGTGTGTGTGTGTGTGTGTGTGTGTGTGCGTGTGCGTGCGTGCGTGCGTGCGTGCGCGCGACACCATATATTGACGCGAAACACCCGAGTGACGTCCCAACTTTCGCTGTCATTTGTTAATAACGGCTGTAGTTATTCCCACGCCTGTACGAAGCCCCACACATTCGTCGCCGCTAATACTCTTCCCATCGCCGCTGCCTTCAGTGAAACTCGAGACACTTCTCATTCGCCCGAAACAAAAGGACCCGCAACCGTCTCTTCTTGTGTATACCTCGAGCCCGGACTCACGATCTCGCCGCTTTTGTCCGTGTCTTATCCGCTGTTTGCGACCGCTTCCTCGTTCTTGTTCTTCTTTGTCACCGACGTTTATTTAAAGCTCCGTCGCGAAAGTCAAAAGACGACGCCACGCACGCCTCACGCCATATAGAACCGCCTCTGAGATGCCCGTCAGGTGTGTGCGCTCTCTCCTTCCTCGTGCGCGACTCGCGTTTTTTGTTGTTAGTCTCTCGTCGCACTGTGCCTGCACGTCTGCGGACGCTTGCGACACGATGCAAGCGGTGCAACTCGCGCACAGAAGCTTCCCTCTTAGATTCTCCCCGCTTGCGCACGCGCTAAGAATGTCAAAGCGACTCCGTGGGATGCATTCAGAGTGTCCTCGGTGAGTCGGCCCGTGTAAAGCGAATATCCATGGAGCACAGACACACTGTCACACTCAGTCCCAATTTGCGGCTGACTATATTTGCGCAAAAACCCTCGTTCAACACAGAGTACAAACCCGATGCAGACTGTACAGTCGCGTCTACGTGTCTGTAGAAGTGGGCACTTTCGTCACACTCAGCCAGTATGCTTTACGAGCACGGCTTTCCAAAGTAGTTCTCTCTGATAAAGGTATTTTAAACAAGGCGATGCTAATTCTATGCAGGGCTATCTGCCTCTGTTCATTACAGAGCACAGCCGCGAAGTTTCTTTCGATTCCCCTGTTCCCCACAGTAGGATAGAAGGATAGTAAGCTATGCTGGTCCCTCTCGTTAACCTATCTGCTCTTCGATTTCTGTCTAAAGAAAACTTCATCGTTGTACGCAGTGGCCATCGCACCACGGGACGGCTTTAAGCTCTCCCATAGTAGAGTACCCTGTACTCTAAATCGTTGCCCACTTTTTCTAACCCCTCCCCCCCCCCCCCGCCTCACGAAATGTAATGCCCAAGGGACGGCTTATTGCTCTCTTATAGTATAAAAGGGGGGGGGGGGGGGTTAAAAAAAGTGGGTAACGATTTAGAGTACAGGGTACTCTACTATGGGAGAGCTTAAAGCCATCCCGGGGCTATGCCAGAAAACACGTAATACCAAATACTCGAAATCGTTAAATACTTATTCTAAACGCACAAAACCAATTCCCCTCGAGAGTGAGGCCCACGGGACGCCTTTATGTTCTCCATTAGCAGAGTACTTAGTACTCTCAATAGTTAACCACTTTTTTCTGCACAAAGTACCGAGTACTCTGAATCGGTAACTTTTTTCCTAACACACAAGTTTCTTTATAATTTGCAAAGTTGTCGGGTTCATTTAACTGAAAGCAATCGTGATTCACACTGCGAATATTGATAGTATTTTTGTTGTAATAAGTTTATACATACAAGACTGTGGTTTAGTAAGCAAGCTTTAAACACTTAACCACGCCCCGTCGCGGTGGCCTATAGTGGCTAAGGTACTCGGCTGCTGACCCGCAGGTCGCGGGATCGAATCCCGGCTGCGGGGACTGCATTTCTGATGGAGGCGGAAATGTTGTAGGCCCGTGTGCTCAGATTTGGGTGCACGTCAAAGAACCCCAGGTGGTCGAAATTTCCGAAGCCTTCCACTATACGGCGTCTCTCATAATCATATGGTGGTTTTGGGACGTTAAACCCCACACATCAATCATCATAAAACAGTTAACCACAATTTTTTTAAACTAAAAACGTCAGTGTAGATGGCGTCGACAGCACGGGGCATGCCCGATTCTTCTTCTCTGTTTAGCGAGCGAAACACGGCATGGATAGTCCGGCTCAAAACAAGGAAGCTCGGAAGAGGCAAGCACTACGTGAAAAAATATTCGCCGGCTGCTGCGCGAACAAAGCGATTGATTTATGAGTTATGATGCATGTGTCACCGTGTTGAGCGAAGGCCCCCCTTTCGTTCTGTTAGCTTGCTATTTTGCCAAGCCCGATAACAATATATGTTGCACAAAGTTAAAATTACAGCCTTGTGTTATCACCTTAATTCGGTGTCACAAGAGTGACCAGTAAGCAGTCATTACATTTCAAGTATGCGAAAGCATCGTTGTCCTTCAAATGGCACAAGCATTATCGACGGCTATGTTATCTTTGCTCTAATGAGTACACGAGCTTAGTCCTGAAAATAAACTGAGTCTAGTCAACGATCCTGCCACGCTGCTGCAATACTATCTTCACAACAGTTCATAAAAGCCAGATACAGTCGCGTCTTTGCGCACCGGTTTGGTCGCATGACCTATCAGGTAATTTTGAATAAATGCTATAAATGTATAGTTTGTTTGCTTTGAGGCATCATTTAATTTGAGATCTTTGGTTAACATCTACTTTCGTAGAAATTACAACACTTTTTTGTTCTAACAGACACCACAATGCAGCCCGCCACTAACCAGGAACGCGAAATTATTAAGGGCGTACTTTAGCCATTTACAAATGGCAACGCAATGGGGACACTGTTATGAATTAGGAATGAACTAAATTACATAGAGTTGATTAATCGCACGGCATGTACTCAAATGATCATGTATTCATGTATGAATTCTGCATTGGCATGTGTAGACTTTTTCAGTGCGGGAATGCGAAGAATATGATTATTCGTTACAGACTGTTTTTGAGGATTCCACACGTTGATTTTTTTTCTCTCGCCAATATGCGTAACAAAGTAATTTTGAACCAGTTCCGAGGACACAGTGCACTGCTTCGGAATGCGTGCAACGCTTTATAGGAAACAAAAAAAGGGAAAAAAAGGATTGTTCGATTTCTTTTCTGCTTATCTTTTTTTTTTTTTGCACGCATTAAACTATTATGCCTCGCAGGAAACAGCAGCCACCTCGTTTCAAAAGACGTCCTACTCCGTTTGCATAGTACCGCAAAGAGAGGCGCGCATTCAGGTATGGCACGGCACATAGCGCGCACGCGTCGATCGGAACAAGAAGGGTAGGCCGACTTCGGGGACACCAAGCGGAGCAGCATACCCAGTGCGCCTCTTGATCGGCTCGAAGATAACGGGGACGGGCTAGTCCTTTTTGCACGCTCGACCACGAACGAGGAACGAAAACACACAACACCAGCACTTGCCTTCGCAGCTGCGGCGACGTTCTGAAATCCAAGCCGATTCACAACGAGAGCAGACGACACACTGGCCCACGCGCTCCGCTGCTCCACGCGCCGCGCGCAAGCGACGCAACAGCGGTGGCGCTGAAGTAGATTTTCCGCTTCTTTTCTCTCGTCTCTTTCTCCCGGTCCCTCTCCTTCTTGCTTTCTTCCTCCTCTCTCTCTCACCCTCTTCCTTTCCTCGTCGTTCCACATGTATGTACCTTTGCGCCCGCTTCTCTCTGTCACGTAACAAGTATTACGCATCGATTCGTTTGGCTGACAGACTCAGTAAGAGGACTACTTCGCGTCAGTTACCTCATCCCTTTAGAGAGTCATAAACCCGTACACGAAGCTTAATTACCACAGCAATCATGCCGCTTTTTAAAGGTAGTAAACGTACGTAGTCCTTCGTTGAAGAACAGTATCGTAATCGCCACGATCTGATACCACGTACTTGGCAACCGTTGGAACACCAAATACTGCATTGGCTTTCGCAAAGTTCCTATTTCCAGCCCTTGCACTTTTTCATTAACTTATTTATTTATGTCATCTTGTCGTCGTCGTCGTGTTCGTTGTTGAAAGCTTTAAATTCATGAATTGGTGCACGAAGATAAAAGACATGGAAAGGTATGCTACGGTATTGTCGGCTATCCCATTAACATGACAGCTGTATTGAGAAAGCACTATTTGTTGTTGTTGTTGTTGTTGTTGTTGTTGTTGTTGTTGTTGTTGTTGTTGTTATTGATGATGTTTTATGCTTTCCAGCCTCCTGAGTAGTGCTCACCTGTTGTCTCTTATTTTGTACGAATATCGTAATTCTTACTAGTAGACTCTTCGAGGGTAGCAAAACAACGAAACAGCCTCGTGTAAATTGAGGTGCAATAGGAATATTTACGATTCAGTCATGTTGCGTGGCGATCGTCGGTTTCGCGAAGCCGTCTGACTGGAGAGATTAGGGTTAAGAAAAGGGAGCATGCACGACCACCGAGTGGAGTTTAAAAATTCTAACAAGCAAGTGACGTTTCGGCGCTCGCACGGAAGCCTCTTTCACTGCACGAAACAGAACACGACAGTATAGGAGGCGGTCCGTGGCCGACTTCTACTCCTCACAGCGGGGCGCTCTTCCAAAACGGCACAGACAGTCGCTTTTGCTTATTTTTTTTATTTGTCATTCTTTTCTGGTTGTTTTGGAGAGCACACCGCTTTAACACTAAGTTATTGTAAAGTGCTGGTCTCGTCGTTGAAAAGCATTTTTTTTGTCTAACTTAGTTTAAACGCAGGGAAAAAAAGTTTGGTAGAAAACGTACTATCCCGGAGAACGTATAATCCCAATACCTAAAGCATCGTAGATTTTCCCTCGGTGACGATATCGCTAATGATGGAACCTGGAAGTCGTATAAAGTGGGAACATATCAGCGAGGTTCTACCGCGTATCACTTCATTTGCCTTTCTTGCCTTAAATGCTCCTCGCAAGGTATTACACAAAAGGTGGATGAATGTATGGATAGACGAAAGAACTTTATCAATGTCCAATAAGTCGCGCTAGTGTCCTAGCCCGAAGCCGACCGCTTTCACGTTGGGACTGAAAGACAAAGCTTTTCAGCCACTTCGCGGGCCCGTTCGACTGCCCATATTTCTCTCTCTAATGTAGAAGTGCGTAAAACTGCATCCCACCGTTCCTGAGTATTTTCCTCGTCGTTGCGTAACGCAGACCAACGCCAGGCTATATGAGCGAGATCTGTGGTGTCGTGGCAATTATCGCATGTTACAGGAAGAGATGACTCCGGATAAATCTTGCTAATCAACAACGGGTTAGGATAACAATACTGATTGTTGGCCTAGTTGGTACTTGCTTACTGACATGATTTGGCCGCAAATAATACACACACAGAATAAAGAAACACTCAACGCCGCTTGTGCTTGTCGTTGGGTGTTTCTTTACTCTGAGTGTGTATTATTTGCGGCCAAATCATGTCATTAAGATCTTCCACATCTACTGAGAAGGCATTGCTAAGCGAGTGCTTGTCGCTGAGTGTTTCTTTACTCTGTGTGTATATTATTTGCGGCCAAATCATGTCAGTAAGCGGGTTAGGATAAGTTAATTCTTGTTCGTAGATAGCCTTAGCGTAATGACCTGAGCTCTGTATAGATTACGGTGTGAAGGGGGAAAGAGCCTGCGTCCTAGGTAGAAGTGTTCGGTTAGCTCGTTGTATGAGAGGAGCTGATCCCTGCATTCTGACACCTCAGCATCTTCTTGCCTTGTGGCTTCATCGTTGACAAGTCCTATTGTGGGCCGATTCGTCGAGGTTCGCGGGAGCACCGTTGACTTCTGCCATAACAGCAGGAAACCTAATATTCGTGTGTTGTTTTATTATTTTTCCCTTCAGCGTTGCCAGAGCCTGTCTTGAGAAAGGTGAGTATAAAGAAAAATAGTATGCTATGGATACCAAGGCGTTAGCTCAGATGACCCAAGTTATTTCGCTCGTGATGGCAGATTGCACTAATGATTGCAGCGATGTTGTGGGTAAGGCTCTTTTAGTGTGATTTTTGCAACGAAAAAAAAGCGATTAAAATATGCGAGTGTGTGTGCGTTTACGTGAGCAACATTTTGTATGCGGTTTGTACGCAGAGATATGCGTGAAGGTGGCAGAGTTTAAAGTGGAGGAGATAGCCTGCGGGATCGATTCCCGCGAACATGCGTATATCATATGCAAAACACCAATACCGAATATAGCTTCGAAGGTATCTTAAATTAATTTTGAAGTTTGCGTGAGTGATCGACTGCATCGTGCTATTGACACCCTCAAAAGGGCCCCTTGGGGACACTCTACTTTCCTCACGTGACTACACTGCAGCAAGTTGTGGTGGCATCATAGCCGCCATTTTTATTTTTGTTTTTTTTAGTCGCGTTTGGTCCAGCCACGCATTAGACAGCTGCTCGCGAGTGCGTGGCCACGGCGCACGAGTTGAAAGTTTTGTGTTTGATGAGATTGCGGTCCCGTTTCCTGTTCGAAAACACTTTTTGACGTGAACTGCGTGGATGTGCGTCGTAGCTTTGTGTGCTGACATGGTTGAACGTTGCACCCGCTAGGTGGTGATAGTTGCAGCTGATGGTTTGTCGTTTTTGAAACCGAAATTGACACTAATTGATAATAAAGAGCCTGTAATTATATATTTGTTGCGCGCTGCAGAAAACGATGTGTCGTGTTATGACTAACGTGCCCCCAAGAACATATTGCAGCAAAAAAAAAAAAGAAAGAGAGGACAAAATTTTTGTGTCAGTAGTCCTTTGAGCCACGTGGCGAAGGAAACTAGTTTACTACTTATGGAATAATTATATGAAGTAATAATAGGCCGAAGATATCAAAGGTTTCCCAACCCGAATATGTTATAATGAACGCCATTCTGTATAGATTGTGATGCTTTTGTTATGTAAATATGGCGAGGGTTTTATATGAATGATGCGTATACTCGAGTTCCGGCCTAACTCGTTTCTTATGCGATAGTAAATTTCCACGAGGAGCATCGCGAAGGTTGTCATTTGAAAATCCCATGGTTTTGTTACCAGCCTGATGAAGTCCACGGTGTCGATGGGTATGTTATTAATCGTGCGACGCAAGTATGAACGCCTACAGATGCGGGAAATTGGCAATGCTTTGACTTTTAGTTCACATTAGTACCATTAACCAGTGATCATATTATATTTTTTATATTGCAATTTGCTATACACTGGAATCAGGAGAGCTTTGCAACAACAGTGAACGTGATATACCGTTCAATGTATCGACAGTGCATTAACGGTGGTACTCGTTCACCGAGAATGAAGATGTGCCATGGTCGAATAACCCGACGCTGTTGGTCATCGCATCTGTCGAACCAGTCATCGCTCGGCAGAGTGCATTAAAACATTTCTGCCAAATATAGAACAATCGTGTGAGTTCGACGTGGTCCATGTCCCCGGTCGCTTACGAGTTTTATCTTTTATCATTACTGTTTCGGTCGTTGACATTATGGTGCTTGCCGGGACAACACGGTAGGGAAAAATTTAATATTATTGTTGAGCAGCGTACAACCAACTTTCGTTATTGTGGGCTCCTGCTGACATGTCGCCGAACCACGAAAACGCCGATTGAATGCGCCGCTGCTGCGATGTTACAAGAATAAAAATCCCAAAACCTCGAGGTGATTACGAGAGATGCTACAGTGGAGGGCTCCGGAAATTTCGACCACCTGGGGTTCTTAAACGTGCGTACCGCGTCTGGGATCGTATACCCGCGATGTTTAGGTCAAAAGTTCTGACAAATGCACGTACGTGGTGTACAAGACTGCTTTTATTCGTGAGACACAGTAATGCAACCAAGCTGTAAATTTTCTCAATATTTCAAAGGCCATTACGACTGATTCCAGTACTCCAATGACAGACTTGGTCTGTGAGGGACGCTGTAGCAACATATTGTGCAAGATTAATTTGAGACGCCTGTAGCTTTCGGCACGCGAACAAATATCAGTGCACACGCGCCTTCTCATTCTAATGATAACATCTGGTGTTTTACGTGCCAAAACCGCAATATCATAACGAGGCATTCCGTAGTGGAAAGGCTCCGGAAATGTTGACCGTCTGATGTTCTTTATCGCGCGCTGACATCGCACAACACAGGGACCTCTGTACACCATTTCGCCTCCATCGAAGTGTGACCCCGTGGCTTTTGGGTGAACAGCCGCACAATGTAACCGCAACCGTTAACCGTTACTCTAAAGCGTGCACGTGAACACAGGAATTATTCTATAGATGATCGGCTGTGTCAAACACCTTTCTTTTAATACAATCGATAATCAAGGTTTCTATAAATATAAGAGTGCACTAAACACAACACGACTAAAATGACCTGTGCCCTAATTTCCCGGTATATACATACGAACGCTCTTTTCGACTATTTCTATTTCCGCTTCAATCCAGAGCGGTGACTATTTCTGGTGGCAGCAGTTTGCGGCGTTCGCTTTGAGATTGAGGAAAATGTTCGCGGACACTGGTAAGCTTTCACAGGCAGTCAATTTCCGACGCGTTTAATGCCTTTCTTT